AAGGTTCGTCGCTAGTTCCGATTCTGCCTGTAATAATTAGGGAGATATAAAAGAAAAATTCAGTCTTCCTAAATCAATTGATGTTGCCATGGATATGATACCATCATAATAAGAGAACAGTAGATTTGGAAATCTTAACTTTACGAACTTCCTATATCCACAATCCCCTGACACTTACTGAATATACTTATTTGCAGACATATATAACAAATCCAATATAACCATCTCATTCAACCTTAATAAAAACTCCCTCCATATATAACCTTTACAGTTCACGTTTGTTCAAGAAACATCAATATATAAACCAATCCTAACCATAATCCTCAACAACAATCCCCTAGGCGCAATGATAATGTAATTAACCTTAAACTATCAAAAATGATCATGCATTTTTTATATGTAAAGCTAATCAACTGCCTGAGTATTAGCTCTGTCCCTATAGAGCCTTATAACAGTAATTGAATCGCGAGCACTGATTTCAAGAGTATAGAAGAGAAAATCTTTTAAACGTATGTGTTAATGACACATGTAACAGTAGCGATTCTTACAATCAATATATTAATAAGACAAGAACACAAATGTGTACAAAATGTCCCCACCAAGTGGTGATCCCGTGAAATGGTTATCCTGAAAATGAGTAGACAAGACTTTACCAACACAATTTGAGGACGGAAAATCCAAAGTGGCCACCTTAAAATTTACCCAGAATGCCAAAAATTTAGTCAGTTCTAGATTTTCATACTAAGAACCACCCCTGAAAATTTGAAATTGATCCGTCACACAGTTAACCAGAAAACATGTAAACAAGACTTTACAGACAAGATTTCAGGATGGAAAATCCAAAATGGCTGCCTTGACATTTACCAAGAATGTCAAAAAACTAATCTGTTTGTAGATTTTCATACTAAGAATCATCCCTGAAAATATGAAATTGATCTACCAAACGGTTCACCTGAAAACGGGTAGACAAGACTTTACAGACAAGATTTTAGGACAGAAAATCCAAAATGGCTGCCTTAACATTTACGCAGAATGCAAAAAAAGTAATCAGATGTAGATTTTCATACAAAGAATCATCCCTGAAAATTTGAAATTGATCTATCAAACCCTTCTCCTAAAAACGCGTAGACAAGACTTTACAGGCAAGATTTTAAGACGGAAAATCCAAAATGGCTGCCTTGACATTTTTCCAGAATGCAAAAAAACTAATCAGTTCTAGATTTTCATACTAAGAATCATTCCTGAAAATTTGAAATTGATCTACGAAACAGTTCACCTGAAAACGAGTAGACAAGACTTTACAGACAAGATTTTAGGACGGAAAATCCAAAATGGATGCCTTGATATTTACCCAGAATGCCAAAAAACTAATGAGATCTAGATTTTTATACTAAGAATCATCCCTGAAAATTTGAAATTGATCCACCAAACGGTTCACCTAAAAACGCACAGACAAGACTTCACAGACAAGATTTTAGGACCGAAAAATCCAAAATGGCCGACAATAAAAAAGTCCTTATGAGTTTTTGCTGATTTCTTTTTACAAAATTATCACATATAACTACCGTTAACAATAAAGTAGGCTTTTACAGCAAAGTACATCTGAAATTATTTATAAAGCTACTAAATAGTTAAAGTATGAAAACTCAAAAACACCATTCAATATGATACAAAGTATTATCGCGCGCTAACTTTTCTTAAGACATTCAAAATGGCTGACATGACTGAGCTAGCAGGTCCAAAACCTAATCAGATCTAGAATGAAGTGAGCTGAACAAGATGTTAAAGTTTTAAAAGCAACTGCGAAGCAGTTTTTCTTAAAGTTTGCAGACAAGGATTTTAGCATTTGACTTCAAAATGGCCGACAGGAAGTAGGTATCGAGTTAATTTTTTTTCATCCACATCTGTATGCACTCATAAGTTATCCCTGAAAATTTGAAGGTGATACCTGTAGCGGTTTTGGAGAAAACTGCCGGACGTACGGACAGACAGACGGACAGACAGACGCACAGACAGACGGACAGACAGACGGACGGACGCGCCTAGGCCGACAATATGGCCCCACACTATGTGGTGGGGACATAAAAATGAGTACACCAAATTGTAATTTAAACAAACTTAAAAGAATTACAAATACTCAAATTAGTCTCTATCTATTTATAAACAAGGCATTAACATGACAAAATGCCACCACCTAGTCAAAAAAACGGAGATGTCACCACTTTTTGGAGGTGACATAACAATACCAGCAATGAACAAAATTATCATACAGGGAACAATTGCTAGTTTGGTTTCTGCTAAGGACCAACTGATGGACGGAATAAATGATAAAGAGACTGACCAATTGATAGACTGAACAATAGAAGGTTTTACTCCATCCTTATGAAAGTTTAATTAGATAATGCTAAATAACAACTTTAATTAATAAAGCATTAACATCATGACAAAATGCCAAAGTTAATAAAAACCGAAACAATTTGGTGCAGCTACCAAATCGACACCAGCTTCAAGTAACGACTGAATAAGGCAATAATTAATACCAGTCAGGATTGCCATGCAGATTCCCCTAGAATCACCACATATAGGAATGCAATGAAAAATTGATAGTCAAGGGTTACTATAGCAAAGTGAATATACATCTATTCTGCTAAAATGATATTACCTCTAGTTCAGTAGGTAATACTTAAGCATTATAATACGGCCTCTGCAAGTCTCAGAAGACACGACACAAGAGAAATGTTGGAAGCGGCACTTTATATTGAAGAAACACTTGAAGCAGTCAATTGTCTTAATTACAGTAATTTACTGGCTTTCCTGAAACCCGAGGACAAATGGCTGAGTTATGACGTGTTTACTGGGTAGGGAGAGGGGGAAATAGTGTTTTCTGTTATGGTAAACACATTCTGATATCAACCAAGTGTTCCCTATGAATAAGTGTATAAAATCAAAAAATGGCCATAACATTGTTTGATCCAAAATCTTTAATCTTAGAATTTATAGACATAACCAGAAATTATTCCAAGTGAGCAGCCATATTAAAGAATCCTTCTTCATGAGAGGAGGTCCCCATAAGTATGGACCTCTAGACAGACAAGGCATAGCCTATGTTAAACCAAAAACAGACCACAAGTATTTGAGTTGGACACTCTAATGAACTTACAACCAAACAGACAGACAGACGAATGAGTTGGCAGTTCCATAGGCTTAACTCGTGAGCCAAAACAGACCATGAAAAAATCACTAAGTATGATGATAATAAGAAAAACACTCAGCATTCAGGTACCACAAAAACCTCCCCATTAAAAAAAAAATTTTCTGAAAAATGCTCCCCTTCCAAATATCTACCAAAAGCAAATGATGAGATAGGACCACCCTTGGTATACTTGACTGCAATCTCCATGTAAAAGATAGGATGATGATACATCTGTAGAGGTGTAAAGCCATAATGATGTGTTAAGATCTCCTTCAGGAAACAATATATTCCATCTCAAGGCTCTTACTTGTGTTGGGGGTATTTGCATGATAAACATGTAAAGTTCTTATTTCCTGTAATACTCCGAGTTTTATATATGCTTTACTGTAGGTAGTAATATAAAAATGTGAAATGTGAAAATATATTCTATTAAACTGAAAAACTAAAAATTATTTTAAGGTGTGAACTCATGAAATTCACTGTTACCTCTATTTCTCTAAGATTTCATAGAATTGCTCAGAGTTTTAAGTTTATTTTTGGCAATAATTGGGAATTTGATAATATTGATGAATTTCTGCATCTTGAATATCAATACCTGTAACTTTCATATTGGCTTACAAAATATCTGAAATCATTTTTGAGATATTGACGTCAGGGTTGCATTTACGACAAAGGTATAGGTACATTTGTAAGGATTATTTTCAATACTTTACTCTCTCTCTAATACTCTGTAGCTGAGAGTAATGCACCTTCATTATGGTTACATCAATTACAAACTTAAAACAACATTAAATTGATTTCTGTACAACAATAGATGGAGAGTGCATGTACATTATTATTGTACCTCACAGGGAGCAGGTGTTTTGGATCATAAACCAGTTGTGTCCCTGATATATTAACCATGGTTTAACAGCAGAACATATTGCACCCTTAATGATAATAATATAGGCACCTTATATTTGCAAGTGAAGTATTAATGCTGCTTTGGAACCGATCATTATTGTTTACTTCAATGCATCTTACCATGAACTACTAAACTAAAGCAGTTATGGGTGAATTCTGAGATAAACATGTTCATCCCAAGATATACTGTACTTTTACTTAATTTGGCGGCTGTTTTAATTTGGTTTTAAATTGTTAAAGTCTGCCAAATTAAGTAGCCACCAAAATCCCTGGTAATTTTAGAACCATGTAAATTAGTATCATTAGTACATTGTTATATTGCAAGTTGCCAAATAAAGTAGTCGCCAAATGTTCAAAACAGCAAATCCGCCAAAGTAAGTAGCGCCAAATTAAGTAAAAGTACAGTAGTAAGATTGAAACAGGAGGTAGCAACTTAAGGAAATAAAGAAATTTCAGTTAACCATAATTTGCACTTAGTCCATTTATTCTCTCTGCAGAACTCTAATTGACAGCTGGTCAAATAGCATTCTGAACATTCTTAATTTCATTGCTCAACATTCTCACTCGATCATGCTTACTATAGAATTAGTGCGACGAAAGCACAAGTCCAAAACTATAGTAAGGTTTGATCTAAGCTAACTGATTTGTCAGTTTTCAATGGTTATCACCTTCTAGTGTAAAATAGTATGACATCTGATGTGTCTTTTTTTCATATGTACACCTAAAGTTGCTATGACACAACTGGATCAGGGCACGATGACACTACTGAATATACAGAAACAAAACTACAAATTCAATGTTTCATAAGAAGCAGGCAAGAAGCAAATCACCTGTTGTTGTGTTTGAGGATTTTGCCTGTTATCAGAAATCTATGAAATCAAAATCTAAGATCTAAGGTACATACCTCCAATGACAGTTGTGTGTGAATGGTGACTTCTTGGACTTGATAATTTGTGGTGTTCTTCCATCTCCATGTCCATTCCGTCCTCAATTGCACCTGGTATAGAGTCAACTGACATACGATCAAACCTCACTGTCTTTTCCTCAGCCACTTTCTTAAAGTGTTAAATTGGGGCGATTGTATGTTTATCAAGTCTAATTGCGCCTGGAATCTCAGGTTTTATGTAGACTTGCAGCTACTATTTGTATGGTTCAATATTAGTCCTGTTTTTTTTATCTTACTTCCAACTTTTTGTTCTTTACTGTTTATGACGGTTGCTGAACCTCCAACTTGAGTAATGATATCACTTATGTTTCCAAATATGACTTGTAACTTCTGTAATGTTACTTTCAATCATGTGTTACTTTCTGTTGATTTACTTGTAACTTGCTGTTGATTTACTTGTAACTTGCTGTTGATTTACTTGTAACTTGCTCTTGATTTACTTGTAACTTGCTCTTGATTTACTTGTACCTTCAACACAATATTCACAAATAAGTCCTAGCTATGCTGTTGTTGTATAAAGTACCTGAATATAATACGTAATGCACCGATGTATATTAACTCCTGCCTCTGTGTCCTACAGATTCCTAAATGACTGTTTTAATCTTCCCCTTATAGCTCCATAATCTATACTGTAACATCACTTTCTGCAACCATTATGTTGGTACCCGATTTGACATCAGTCTCGATTGTGGTCAATAAATACCTATTAGAGTTAGTATGCTCAGCAATCCATAGTTATAGAAATCAACAGTTGAGAAGAGTCTTATACACTGAAACAGCCTCGAGGAAAGTTGTTATATCTATTTCTGAGTGGAGTATAGATCGGCACTTGGTATCCTCAATGTGTCGTTTCTCAAGCTGGAGTTCTGTCCTATTTAAGATGCTAATTCAAAACATATCTTTTAATTAACATCTAAATCCTCCGAGGACCTTTAACTAAATATCTTCCTAATAACAGAATCTCTCGCTTCGATTCTACGGTAAATATATCTTTAGTTCTTAATTAAACACCCTTATCGTTGGGTACTAGTTCTTCAGCGAATATTTAAGAACTGGAAACTGTCGGACAATTCTTTTAAAGGAAATATGCCTGACGTGATGATTAACGATGTGAAAATTCTCCAGGGATTCCGTTTCCAAATGTCTTATAGACTCTTTAATAGTAAAAAATGACTATATTTGGATAATAGAATTTAGCAATCCGATTGGTATCAGTCTAAAAGAGTTGATCTGGGATTTGCTAAATCAATAATGTTTTATTATACAATGCAGTAGTTTTCAATCATTTGTGACGTATCACTAGATGCTGTTTAACTTTCGGTGTTTCGAATATTATCCAGTTTAACTAAGTAATATTACTAAGTAGGTTTTTCCAAAGATTCAGCAGATGATAGTCACTATATAATATACAGCAACATTAGGCATGATTATTCAGTTTAAGATAAAAACCACTTATACTGAATTATATTTACAGATTTGTCTTCAGCGTATTTATAAACCTACATGGATTATGAAATGTGAAAAAGTAAATTTAATCAATTTGATTCTCTATATAGAAAATCTGAATATGATTGAGTTCACTTGTTAGTAGACACTCTATTAATAAATCGCACTATTCCAGAATACCTCAATTTCTTATCATTAGATCTAATTTTCTCTGATGCTTTTTAGAGCTACACTCACTCGATTCTCCGACATAAACTGTTTATCAAAATATCAATAGAGTGAAGCTATGTATTGCTTTGGCCTTTTACTGCAATGAATTGGAATCAATGATTTCCCAACTACTAACGCTCTTAATAAATACTGCAAATTCATCAATGATGAGGTTCATGGGAATTTGCAATATTTTGTCAACAATCATTAATTACTTATTGATGTTATGCTGAAATAGGGCCAGGGTGATCAATATCTAGGCCCTGAATCTGTATTTCATCAGTTGTTTGTATCGGTAATTGTAAAACATCAGACTCTATTAGGAGTATTGGAGTATGTGTTTAAGCCACTTCATACATTTGTTGTCATAGTTATATAAATTATTCAAAATCTTGGTACAATTACTAGAAGCTGCTGGTTTTAGAAGAGTACCTGATATACCTGATACGGAAACATAATCCTCCTAAGAAAAATCACAAACGTCAAATTGCTAATTTATTAGGTAAACATGATTACAGATTCAAATTATCATGATAAAATAGGAAGTACATCAACTGTACTACAACTTAAAACATTTTTGAATGGAAATTCTAGATTTTTCTATCATTTCATCAGGAAAAATTAATATCCATTATCATAATGGAAAATGTTGTGTGATCACTACAACAAAAACTGTTTTTACAAAATACCATTTTAATTCCTTATCATTTATATAATAATTCCATTATAATTTTAGGAATATCAGACACAAATACAGTTTGTAATACCTATCTGTGTTAGGTTTCTAGTAATTCCTTTTATTACTGTGAAATTTTACGTAAAAAATAGTTTATTTTATTCAAGGGATAATCTCTATGTTGGAAACAATAGGGAATCCGAGAATCTCAACGAAAACTAAGCTGACACAGACTTTCAGATAATTCACTACTGATAGAATTGATCGGGGGATTGTTATACCTTTAATTCAAAATATAGAAACACCATACATTTGTTTTTCAATGTACAGTAAAGCCTATAAAGTGGAACACCTCTGTTAGTACGTAATCGTAATTATCAAATTCATATAATTATTCAACCTGTAAAATAATAAAATCAATGAACTGTAACTATGAATCTTCTTTTCAAAAATTCTTATAAAGACGGCATCAGGAGTTCCAAAATCTATGAGGTGTATGCCTCACAAAATTAGAGGTAATTAGTTCCCCTAATTCCCTGATCAGGTAAGCATTTTTTCGACAAAACAAACATTTGTATCGGTCTTTTGATGTTGCAGGCTACGCATCATTATCACTAAGATATTTTCAAATCAGAGTTATACATAGTTGAGGCACTCAGTTGTATATTTTAGCCATTATTAACCACCACCCGGACAGCAAACCAATACTATATTAGATTGGTACAATGTATACCCCTAGTATATAGACCTTAATCTAGATTAGCCAATAAATCACAAAGATGAACTGTGCACTGTTTAAACATTGTTTCTAACTCAATAAAATAGGTGAAATATGTAGGCTTAGAGAAATTATGTGAAAAAATTAAATCTTAAAGTATGTAAATACAGCAGTCTTAATTTAAGTTATTGGTTTTAGTAATTAACAAAAACAATTTTAAACAATTATTGTTTCTAAATGGCTGAGTTGTTTTTTATTGTGGAGCAATGTCCAGCAACACAGATTTGAACTTTGTTATGAGAAAGAACATAAAATTTATAGTATCAGTTAAAAATGCTGTTACCTTACTCAGTCTCTATACTTTAAATTTTAATTTGTTTAATAAAGTCGAGGCCCTATGTAGTCTGTATAAACAGAATTTGTTTGTAGAAAATCATGACACTGCATATGCCTATTAGTTCCAATATTCAAACTCCTATAAAACACCTTGAAATATACATTTGAGATCATTAAGATGGCAAGTGAGTAGTGTAATAAACTAATAGTCATCCAGGATAATATTCTGTCAACATTTCTTAACAGAACTCTAATCTTTGGGGACTTGGGATTAATAACAGAACTGTACTGAAAATATCTTAAATAATTCACCCAAGGAAAGGAACATATTACTCATCAAAGTATTAATAAAGCTGAAGCCAAAATTAATTTTGTTTGATGCTCAAATGCACAATTTGTATATTTCATGCCATCAAAAATATATCATTCCCCCTAAATTTTTTGTATTTTGTCTACCACCAATGAAGGTGAGCAATACCTCTTGGGTATATACCAACAGTTTATATATGGTCATAATTAACGCATGTATTCATGGAAGGCAGATCTAGGAACCCCTCCTTGGAGGAGCCCGGTGTTCTTTTACTCATACATAGTCATACAAGTATATTACAGCCTTTTTACGAGTTGTGGACCACTCAGCAAGCAAATTATGTGCCTATTCCAGGGATCGAATCTGGGACCTATTGCATAAGAGGTACACACGCTACCCCTGAGCTATACGGGTGGACTAAAAACAATCAAACAAACGATCGCAATATCTAATCCAAGTGTGTTGCTATTAAAAATAGATGTAAAAATAGTATACACATTTCAAAATATTATCATCTTTATGGATCTATATAACCAGTAAATTGAAAATAAAATGATAAAATCCATACATATTTTACTGAATAAGGAAAATTAGATAATAGGCGTGCCAATAATATGAACCAAAGTGATTCTGAAATTGAAAAACATGTTATTGGAAAATCCTCTCTCTATCCTTAATCCTACCTAAATTATCACTTTATTTTGCTCATCTTATTCTAGTATTACCCTTTCAGTGTTTTCTAACTGAGAAGCAATTTGATCATGAAGTTAAGTATCTACATGTACATACACATCAAGACATCTCTCATTTTAACATGAGGAAGACTGCTCCCATGCAGTCATACAACGCACGAAAACCATCAAAGAGAGAGAACATTTATTTGATACACAATTTGTTTTATCTTGGGGTGTTCATTTTTTCCTACAATACGATTAAGACAAATTAAGGCATTAGCATGCAAAATGTCACTACCTATCATTTGTTACAAATACTGGTGGCCATCTAATATCAACTGTTGTCCCAAAAGATTGGAGACTAAAACACTATGTCATCACTTCTGGTGGTGTCATAATAATATATAGATCTTTTTATTTGAGCTTAAGCAAGTAAACTTAAACCACGAGAAGCCAACTACAGCCTCGTCTATATAATCATTTATCATTTATTTCTTGTTTTCAAATAGAATTTAAAATATGTTTTTCTATATATAACACAAAAAGTTTCCCCCTAGTTTCCTCAATCCTTTTGTTAACAACACTATTTCCTTTTAGAGGACTGGGCAGAAATAGGCAAGGCTTAAGTTATGATACCCTCATCATTGCTCAGAACCCTTCTGGATGGTTTTACATAGCCACCCACCAGACATTTTACATCATACAGTATTTATACTATTAATCCAATCTCAATTGTCTCCATCCATTAGTTCCCCTTAGTAATAAGTGAAAACAATAGAGGATTATTCCACATTTAGTAGCATATAAGTGCAATAAGACAATAGAAGAGATTTTATAACTAACTTAAAGTGTGTTTATAAATCACTTATGTTTAAAGCTTATATTTGTGTAAAGTCATTACTTGTCACATTATAAACATCATTATAAATGTAATAATTTCAGTTTTCTTTTACTTGTAACTTATAGCTAAAATAAATTATAGCCTCTATAATATAAGTGTTATATATGTAAATACACTGTCTTGTACTTCTAATGGTCTCATGACACTCCATACTTTTTATAGAAAAGTCAATACTGTAAACAAGCAATTGTATAGTTTCTAAATAGCTGAATAACGCTGACATAATAGATGTCACCCTTGTTTGTCTTTTATTTTCTTGGGCCAGACCTCCATTCACATAAGCAAAGGTTTTAATGAATTTTAGCACTGCACCAATGGAGATTTGGCCCAGGTTTTTTAAAAATGTCATGGAAAATGACTTAAATGACATAACTGTGTAAATCAAAGCTATTATTGGAGAAAACTTGTCACTGAATTCAAATATGCTATCAAAAATAAAGAAAAGTAAGTCATTAGAGGTAAAAAGTGTAAATCCCTCAAAAACCCATGAAAACAAGAATTAGTGAGATTTCAAAGCTACTATTCCAGTATTTAGAAACTCCTCTATGGGGACAAGAGGTATATTACTTGTAACACATCCTTGGCCCAAGAGTAAATCATTGCATTACATGATCTGCTATGAAAGCAGTGAAGGACCAATGTTGTAACACTCTGTTAATTGATCTAAAGATTTTATTCAAGATTTTCAAGGAAAGTTAAAGTTGGACATGTTTCTTTTCATTTACATAAAACATGTCTAATCTGAACACCACTGTACCAGCTGAAAGTGTTTGGATTGGCAGGTGTTCACTTCAAATTCAGACATCTGCAACTGCAAAAATATTACTCTGTGTTTATGCAAGGCACTCTTGAAATCAACATAACAGCATGAAAAAATGTGGAATCATCTACAATAGTAAGAGGATGGTATGGCTACCAAATCGTGATTCAGAGTTGCCATTCAATTTTACTTTAATATCACATGTCATTATTTATTAATGCAATCTGCAGCTGCCACAGATGGATCTCTCCGAAATTGGTATTAACAATCATTAAGATTCGTGACAATATAAAATTAGATCATTGTTCTATCCATCCCATTGCTAGATATTACAGCTAGTCTGCAAACAAGATCAAAGTGTGTTTATGAGACAGGAAAATCGATAGAAATCAGTCTCCAACTAAAAACATGAGACCTCGATTATACCATGCATATATTTCATGTTGTGATTTAAAGATGTCACTAATAATGTGCATCAAAAGGAAAATGTTCAGAAAATAGCCTGAAGAACATCAGTTTCAGCTTACCATATTAGCCTCCGGCCCTCCAGTGGCAGATTAGGAAGGTGGGGGGGATTGGGGTAGCATGGGCCCGGGTCTCCCCCTAAGATGGGCCCAGAAAAAAAATTTTGGTTTTCATTTTTGGCCTTTTCAATAATTGGGCATCAAATTTTCAAAATTGGGGTCCAATCTTTGGTTTTAGGGGCTCAAGCACGCAAGATATTTTTAGACTTGAAATTTGGCCACCCTTGTTAGTTTCCAGATCAATCCTTGGCCTCTGACTATTTCAGGTGATTTAACAGCATCTTAATGATCTCAAATGAATTATTTTGGTGCTCTTAAGTAGAAAAGTCTTAAAATAATCACTACTTTATAACATTCAGAGGTATGTTTGTTCTACCTCTTCCCCTCCCTTGAAATAGATCCTGTTTCAAGAATTTCAAACAGTGTACATACAAACAGTACATAGTATTAATGTAATTTTATTTAAACAATTAAAAGCTATATCAGAACATTATTGCAAAATGTGTAACATCCCTAGACTTGTCAATAGTGTAGAACGTGGCTAATAATGCTAAAAGCATAGCCACCCACACATGTATGTTTTGTGGTATTCTTTGTACAAAAAACAAATAACTTTAAAAAAACAAAACAATCCCTGCTTGTTTTATTCTATTGATTGGGATTTAAATGTTAAAAGAATTTACAATCATATACGAAAACAAGACACACAGTGACAAATATCGAACCTTATATAAAAAAAGTTCAAATGACCATCAAGTAATTTACCGAGCATCTAATCAGATCTTGGTACCAGTCTACTCTTGAATCAGTTAAAATTTCAGATAGCCTAATGAAAATGCATTCCAAGTTTGAACAAGCTGGCGCACTGACATGTTAAGAATGACTGATCCCGAGCCCATTATGACCAGAGGCAAGTACTTGACTATTATGACTGCATAATGCATGTAACCTCTTCATTTCAAATCTTTAATGTCTTTATTCTTTGTATTTAAAGTTATGAGACAATTTTAATTTGTTCAGTTTTAGTTACAGGACTAAATTTGACAAATTACAAGCATTTCCAACAGCTATTAGTAAGACCATTTTTCATACAGGACCCCCTCCAAATATATAATCACTATATGGTGTATACCATTATCAAGGACTGACACAATTCAAAAAGGTGACGTAAAGACTATGCAGCACCATACCCAGATTTTATAATGGGGATTCCCCTTCTAAACCATACTGCCATCTTGATGAGGCGCAATGAAAAACAAAAATATCCTCGTTGTCGATAAATTAGAGATACAACTACATGAAAAGAATCCTAAAATACTCAGGAATTTATTGAGTTATGTTATTGGTATAAAGGGTGTGCCAAGAAATGTCAGCTTTTGAAAAAATAAAGGTCTTCAAGACGTGACAGGTTATTAGGCTAGTACAGGTACAATCGGAGGTACAAGCATTCCTATTACCACATGCAATATAAAAAAAGGATATGGAACATGTCAAATAATCAATCATCTTCAGGTTTTGACTTTAAAGTGAAAAATTTGGGGAATTTTCTCATAAACTTGATCTTTAGCAATGTGTTTCCCATCTTGCCTTATATCCACAAGACTTCTATTATATGTGGACGCATCAAGAGAAACGTACACCCATGTAAACAATGGGAACTCTTTGATTTTATGGAGTGTAAAGTTTAATGTAGTCAGTCCATCATGTTTAAAATATACAGGGTCTTCTTTTTCTAGGACTTTTATAATTTTATTTTGGTTATGATTTGTAGGGTTTCCAGCATCTCTTACGTGTTTAATCATGGTGTATTTGCAGTTTGTTGAATTTTTACATCTGTGAATGGTGATGTTGTTATCTTTAAATCGCTGAACTAGATTGTTGTCTTCGCCTCCCCATCCCCAATATAAATTTGAATAACCATTTACTTTTTTAAATAATTCTTTCGTGACTGCGAGAGCGCCACCATTCAGAATAAAAACAGTGGTGTAGTTATATTTATCAACAAAATCTGAGAAATGCATCACTTCTTGATCGTCTTTGGAACACTTGTAAAGAATTTGGTCATTTTCAGGGAATATGTCGACATCATGGAAAATAAAGCACTCTAATTGTTCATCTAATTCACTCGCAATCTTAAACCCAATGTTCATCAGTGATGCTTTGTTGAACAAAAATGGCCTTTTCTGTTCTATTACAAATATCCTATATGATAATTTTTGGCGTTGTAAAAAAGGGTGCATGTAATCTAAAAAGTACATCAAGTGGGTGCTCCTATCTCTGTATGGAATAATAATTGCCATCCTCTGATCAGGAATACATTCATCGGGTTCCCATATTCCACCAAGTTTCACATTTTCGTTATCTTTCTGTACATTCTTCCATTTAATATTCTTTGGGAAGGTAACATTGTGATGATCTTTAGGAGAGTCAAGATGGCATTTCCTAAGAAGTTTTTTGTAGTATATTGTATCATGCTTGGTGTATAAAATTAGAATAAAAAATCCAAAGGTTAATCCAAACAGTGTGGGTTTAACGAAGTGTTTCATTGTATCAATGAATGCAAATACTATTCCTCACATGGATGATTCTAAAAGAAATCTTGTTGTGAACAATAACTTTATTTGTCTCCAGCAATAATTTCAATCAGCACTCATATTGAAACATCCTTGATCATACTGATTATATTAGAATGTTACAATATTACAACGTCAATATGTTGACATCAACAAAATTTAGTATTCTATGAAAAGGTTAAATTTCAAATTAAACCAGTTTATTTCAATTTTTCTTGTTAAAATATCCATTGGCATTTACATATTCAGTGTAGTAATCAGGTTATGATTAATGTCAATATATTGATATGTTTGCACTGTTAGTCCTATTCACCATGGGTGTATTGAAGTTTAGTGGAAAAGGAGGCCCCATGATAAAAAAAAACAAAACAGAACAACGGCAACGCCAAAGAGTTGCGAATCCCATCGAACAGAAATGGCTGGCATTACTACAAACGAAATATATAGCAAATATCATAAAACAACACACCAGAAAGGCCGCCATTTTCAAAATGGTTGCTCACTAGCCAAGTTGTCATCAGAAGAAATAATATGCTTTTAAGTAGCCACCTATAAAATTCTTGAAAAATTGCACACATGTACTAAGTCTTGTAAAATAACTCACATAAAAATGGTGGCCATTTTTCAAAATGGCTGACTACTCCCCAAAGTTTTATTAGACAATGTGCCATGCCTAGAGTATTCACATATCAAATATGAACAAAATCGCTCCACTACTTTTCGAGTTATAGTAAAAAATGTGAAAATGAAAGCCATTTTTTAAAATGGCAGCCTACTATCAGAAGTGTCATGAGATAGTGTGAAAGGCTCATGAGTATACACATATCAAATATGAACAAAATCGCTTCACTACTTTTCAAGTTATAGTAAAAAACGTAAAAATGGTGGCCATTTTTCAAAATGGCAGCCTACTACCGAAAGTGTCATTAGACAGTGTGCCATGCTTATAGTATTCACATATAAAATATGAAACGTACCAAATATGAACAAAAACGCTGAACTACTTTTCAAGTTATAGTAAAATACGTTAAAATGGGGCCAAAATGGCCACCTTCTACCAAAAGTGTCATTAGACAGTGTGCCATGCTTTTAGTATTCACATACCAAATATAAACAAAATTGCTCCACTACTTTTCGAGTTATAGTAAAATATGTTAAAATGGCGGCCATTTTTCAAAATGGCCACCTTCTTCCAAAAGTGTCATTAGATAGTGTGCCATGCTTATAGTATTCACATACCAAATATGAACAAAATCGCTCCACTACTTTTCGAATTATCGCAAAAATCGTAAAATAACAAGTAAACGCGGCCATTTTTCAAGATGGCTGCCATTTGCTTTTTTAATATCTACATTTGCAACTTTATTAATGTTCTTTATAATTTTTTTACATTTAAAACATATTGCTATTTCAGTTTTACATATTGCACCTAAATTACTGTAAAATCGGCACTAAAATGGCCGCCATTTTGAAATGAGTGGCCATTTTGAAAATCGGCTTTCGAGCAGAACTTCTATTCCCATAGGGTATATGTGTACAAAATATGAACAAAATTGGGCCGGTATTTGAGTTATTGCCCGGACGGACGGACGGACGTACGTACGTCCGAACTTCGTTCGATGGGATAATTAACTTCAAAATAATGTCAAAAAGCATGAAATAATACATAACTGACTGTGAAAATGCACAAAGGTATAACCTTAGTGAAAATAATGGACTTTGTGAAAGAATGGGTTTTCAAGGGCTTCCTTAATGGTTAAGGCTGATTTATTAAGCCAGACTGACTAATTACTTTTAGGTTTGTTTAGATTCCAACCAATTAACAGATGGTATTGACAACAAAAGGAAAAAACAAATATATGGGGGCATATCTATTAAATATAAAGGTTACTTAAAAATGATATAATTACTGCCATTGGATATGCCCAAGGTCATAGCTTAAGGTAGTTAAATACACCTCAAGGTTTCAATTAAATTGCCGACTTATTTTTTTTAATCTACAGGCAGAAAACATGGGATTCCCATTTTTGCATGGTACACTGAATTTAATTAGTAGGATGATATCATCTCCAAAGCAGAACAGAACTTTTTCATTTTTGTTCACTGGATGGTTTAACAATTATAACTAACTTGAAGAACAACTTTGTTTTTTGTTGCAGCTCTTGTATATTTGTCCAATATCTTGCAAATAATAGGGAGTTAAAGCTTGCAATGTTTTTCACAACCTAATATTTAAGCTATGTATTTTTCTGTTTGGCAATTGTATAAAGAAATCATCAAACATTCTGAAAAAAAGTGATCTTCAGATTCACATGATATCTTTTAAGGTCAAAATAATGTGCAACAGTTTAATCCTGAGTTAACATTCATATGTCATGTACACAATATGATGTTGAGAGTCGTGGACATATTTAGTAGGCAAATCTTGAAATTAAATTATTTAAGGTGATTATATTGACCAACCAAACTTTAAGCCATGACAAATAAAGACAAGGCATTAACATGACAAAATGTCACCACCTAAAACAATTTGGTCAATTTAAGGGGCGGGGTCAAAATATCGATGTTCATATGGAGACGAAAGTACTTTCGCGAGGGGGAGGGGGTTTTTGGGCACTTTTGTTGACCAAAAAAACATCGATAATTCGGATCTGATATACAAAAAATAATTGGACTTACCCACTTTTTCTGGCGCTATGTTCTGATAACAAGGCTTGTTTTCAATAGTTCGTGAGCTTTTTTGTGTGATAGGTCCAAAATATCGGTAGATAAAGACGATAATTCGATCATTTTTCAAATAAATTCCGTACTTTTCCCTCCTCCTTTTGAAGAGTTCAATGCAGTTAAATTGCGAACGTGTGTTAATTCACCGTAATAATAACCCGGCAAATAGGATACGATTATGCCAATGTTTTTTGAAGTGACCTAAGCTTTCGTCTAGAGGGGGGGGGGGTGGGGGGGTTGTTGTCCAAACGAAATTACTTTCGTCTCCATATGAACATTGATATTTTGACCCCGCCCCTAAAGCAAGTTGAAAAAATACCTCTTTGACTTTTTTTGACATTGAGAAGGTCATTGAAGGTCAAATGTCAAATGTAAAGTCAGATTTGAACTTCTGAGAACATGTAGATGATTTTGAAAAAAAAATTAAGTAAATTTGAAGCAAGTTGAAAAAAGACCTTTTTGACCTTGAAAAGGTCATTGAAGGTCAAATGTCAAATCTAAAGTCAGATTTGAACTTCTGAGAACATGAAGATGATTTTGAAAAAAAAATTAGTCAATTTGAAGCAAGTTGAAAAAAGACCTTTTTGACCTTGAGAAGGTCATTGAAGGTCAAAGGTCAAATCTAAAGTCAGATTTGAACTTCTGAGAACTTGTAAAGTCAAATTTGAACTTCTGAAAAGATGTAGATGATTTTGAAAAAAACATTTGGTCAATTTGAAGCAAGTTGAAAACAGACCTTTTTGACCTTTTTTGACCTTGAGAAGGTCATTAAAGGTCAAATGTCAAATCTAAAGTCAGATTTGAATTTCTGAGAACATGTAGATGATTTTGAAAAAAAAATTAGTCAATTTGAAGCAAGTTGAAAAAAGACCTTTTTGACCTTTTTTGACCTTGAGAAGGTCATTGAAGGTCAAATATCAAATCTAAAGTCAAATCTAAAGTCATATTTGAATTTCTGAGAACATGTAGATGATTTTGAAAAAAAGATTTAGTCAATTTGAAGCAAGATGAAAAATACCTTTTTGACCATTTTTGACATTGAGAAGGTCATTGAAGGTCAAATGTCAAATCTAAAGTCAGATTTGAATTTCTGAAAACAAGTAGATGATTTTGAATAAAAATGTAATCAATTTGAAGCAAGTTGAAAAAAGACCTTTTTGACCTTTTTTGAAAAGGGCATTGAAGGTCAAATGTCAAATCTTAAGTCAAATCTAAAGTCAGATTTGAATTTCTGAGAACACGTAGATGATTTTGAAAATTTTTTTTAGTCAATTTGAAGCAAGTTGAAAACAGACCTTTTTGACCTTTTTTGACCTTGAGAAGGTCATTGAAGGTCAAATGTCAAATCTTAAGTCAAATCTTAAGACAGATTTGAATTTCTGAGAACACGTAGATGATTTTGAAAAATTTTTTAGTCAATTTGAAGCAAGTTGAAAACAGACCTTTTTGACCTTTTTTGACCTTGAGAAGGTCATTGAAGGTCAAATGTCAAATCTAAAGTCAGATTTGAAGGTCAAATGTCAAATCTAAAGTCAAATCTAAAGTCAGATTTGAATTTCTGAGAACATGTAGATGATTTTGAAAAAAAAATTAGTCAATGTGAAGCAAGTTGAAAAAAGACTTTTTTGACCTTGAGAAGGTCCTTGAAGGTCAAATGTCAAATCTAAAGTCAGATTTGAACTTCTGAGAACATGTAGATGATTTAGAAAAAAATTGAAGTCAATCTAAACAGTATTTGTTAAGTTATAGGAAGTTGTAAGAAATTGTTACAGACGCCGGACGCCAGACGCCGGACGCCAACCGCCGTCGCAAAAAAACGGAGACCATAACAATATGTCACCACTTTTGGTGGTGACATAATAATCTCTATGCAGAGATAAGTGAGGAACTTATTCGTGCTGATGAACCAGATGATGATTATATAGTTTTCAAGATTTTATGAGAGAATGGTAGCCTATGCCTGTATGTGGTACATGGTATGCCTTTAATTCCGCTCAATCCTTATGCAGTATACTATCTTTTTACAACTGACCATAAACTAATTGACCTTTAGCACGATTGTTAAAAAACAAGATGACAACAAGTTTCTTACCTGAATATAATTTCCCCTCGTTGTTTCGTTCCATGCCCACCATCAATACAAAGATATACAATCCACCTTCTTTCGAAGAAAAAACATTTGTTACGTCTTCATATTATCTACAGTCCACTTGTTTTCCTTAAGCCCTGACTTGACAATATGCTCAAGCAGACTACTCCTGAATCATCTCATTTATCAAATATGACATATATAAGATTTATCTTTGCTGCAAATATCACGAGCAATATCTTTGTTTTAATTAGTTCAATAAAGCATGTCTTATCTTGGG